CCCCCCCCCCCCCCCCCCCCCCCCATTTACACATACACTGTACATGCATGCACACGCATACCGAAGGTCCCCTCCTGCTGCTGCTCTTCATCTCATATTCAGGTCAGTAGGGGTTAGGCTGGGTCTTAAAGAGCCGTTCTGTTGTGTTTTGTGAGAGTATATGATCGCATGTGTCAGCGTGTGTGTTTTGTCAACAGTGCACCGGAGCAGAAAATGTGCTGTGGATTAACATGAGGCAAACTGTCAACCACAGCTTAACCAAAAGCGTGTATTCTAGTAGCCCCAAAGAGACGAGGTAAAAAATGATGAGGTAAAAAAACAGTATATATTACAGTTCTTAAAAAAGAATAAAATGCACTTAACTTCAATTTTATTTGTGCGTATTGGACAAATAAGTATTTTTGTCTCGGTCGTGACTAATACCATGGCCCGTTTTAATGACCCTCCTTAGGAGGCTGCAGCCTCAGCGTGTTGTTCAGATGAAAGAAACACCACAGCCATTTGGGTAATTGAGTCCCAGTACATATTGCAGCTGACCTGGAAGAATAATCTTCCCTCACTCATCACAGTAATATCTCCAACACGCTAAAGTATCTACAAAACAACCACAAGTAGTGCGATTTATCAAAGTGAAATGTCCAAAAGGTTCTTCAGCAGCTTTCTAGTGTTTAAACACAAGCAAAAAAGCATGTTCAGCATATTTTGGAATCCAGCATTGTTCAGAAGTGTAGTGGAAGCAGTTTTAAATGACTGCCGTTGTTGCACTTCTATGTTAGCATGAGGCTGTGGGTCATTTTAGAGCCGAGAACGATTCAGAAAATGCCTGGAACCCCTCGCAGGAATCTGTCCCCAAACACAGTGAAACTGCTCCGGCCCGCCAACGAAGCCCTAACTCTTATTGAGTTATGGTGTGAAATTAAGCACGGCGGATATATTAAGCCTCGCTGATGTTCAAATGTCCCCCCTCTAGTCTCCTTGTAGTAGGTCTTATTGGTTGTGGCCATCATGAAACAAATTAGGAATGCCATGCAGCTAAAAAATACTTCGGGCTTATGAGTACCGAGGCCCAAAAGATTCTGCGATAAGGCCATTTACTCTGATATGGGATTGGCTACACTTGTTCCCTTTCAGTATTTGATGTTTGTACAACTGCTCCTAGAGAGGATAAGTGTCAAATTTAAATTAATATGAATTATTTTCCACTGAATTACAGCATGTAAACTTAATAAGGGGCATGCATATAAGAGGCGTCTCGTAAATACTTTTGATTGCTCTCTGAGATAAGCCTGTTTTTAAACACAATAACTCAGTCAATATTGAACTCACCAACATTAGATCACATACACTGACTCAGGATATAGTATCTGGTTAGGGTGAACAACAAGCAAGATAGTATTTTCGTTTACTTTCTACTTATACTACTATATTATTTCTATCTATATTTTATTAGTTCTTTCTTCTATCTATATTTCTCTTTGAAATTGTCTTTATGGGATGTGCACGATTCCTCTCTGCTCATGCTATCTGATGTACTTCAAACAAAGCAGCCATGTCTCTCTCTTAGTCACTCTGACACCATTTAATTTTGGCAAAGTGAAAAAAAAACAGGCAAACAAAGAGCCTAATGTCTCTAATATATATATGAATTCAGTACAAAACAAAGGGACAGATGAAGTGTCATTCTCACATGCAAAAAGCATTTACATTCAGATTGAGTCATCGCTGCACCTTAAGGTCGCTTCTCTTTATCTTTACAGCCATGTTGGTTGGATGTTGAGAATGGATGTGACAAGGGCCTTTCCCGGAAAACAACATGCTGATAAAAGATAACGGCTGATGAAAACAATGAGCCTGCAGAGGAGGCTTACTCAGTGAAATGGTGTTTATGACCCTGCATTAATCAGTCTATTTTCCCCTCTCTCCCCCAGTCTTTGCAGAATGATTGCATATATAATGTTGATTCATGAATATTTTAATTGAAAGTTCAACTGTGCTTAGGGCCAGCTCTGATTCGAATCTAGCTTGCGGTGGAACTCTCCAGTTAGGCAGGATGGATCGCAGATTAAGAGTTCTCTGTACGGCTGAACAATTTTGAAGAAATATCTAATTGTGATTATTTTTGACTGATTTTGCAATTGTGATATGAATCGCGATATTAGCGGGAATGATACTTTTTACATCTTTATTCTCATTTTCATGAAAAAAACATTAGAATTATTATGGTGTAATTTTTGCAGAGATTTGTAACAAGCAAATATGTTTTAATATGATTTAATTTGAAATTATTTTTCAACACACATATTGCGCCTCTTGCGATTTGAAAATTGACGTATAGGCCATATTGCGATAGTGCAGCCCTAGTGCTCTGTTCTCCTAATCTGGCTTCTTGGACAGTGGCCTGGCCAAAAATGTTTAAACTTTTTCCAAAATCCTTTCGAAGAATAGTAAGACGAATGGTTATGGTTTAGGCATGTATTTATTATGTTAATGTGAATCACCTCTCTCACCTCTGCAGGACCTGACTACTTAAAACAACCACAGAAGGAGCCGGTGGAGATTAAAGAGGTCCCTGTTGAAAAGAAGGAAATCTCCCATAACGATTCTCCCCACTTTTACCGCAAAGGTACCACTCCTCCCCACTCCCCTGTGACCAGTCCTGCAGCCACGCCTCCCCCCTCGCCTCACTCCAGCAAGAAGAAAAATCAGGTCGCCAACAGCACCAGCCGCAAAACCAGCAAAGAGGAAAAACCGTCCCGCAAGACAAGCAAAGAAGAGAAGTCAAGTCATAAGACCAGCAAGGATGAGCGGTCTAGTCGGAAGCTGAGTAAAGAGGAGAGGCTGTCCGTCACTGATGGCCCTAAAAGTTCTCATGTGCACGTCGAGGCTTCAAACAAACCCACTAATATTCAGCAGCCTACCCCAGCATCTGCTCCTGCTCCACATCCTCCGGCAATGCCGGCCAATGGCCAGCTCCTCAGCGAGTACCACAGTTACTACGTGAAGACCCCTACAAGGGTCCAACCACCACCGGACCCTGAGGAGGATAGAGAAGAAGAGCCTACTACCCTGGACTTGGCACACATACCCCAACAACCCCCTAAGTCCTATAGTATCCCCACTCCTAAGCCAGCCTCCCTACGGGAGAACAAGAGCGACCCGAAACTCAGGAAGCAGGATTCCCTAAAGCCAAAGAGCCTCGCAGACACAAAGAAAGCCAGTATGGATATTGCAGAAAACACGGAAGAAACAGTAAGTATCAGTGAAAGGATAGAAAAATGAGTTTTGGAAGGAATAGTTTAGACATTTTGGGAAATACGCTTATTCGCTTCCTTGCCGAGTGTTCGCTAAAAAGATTGCTACCACCCTTAAACATAAGACTGGCATCAATTTTCTCATCTAACTTTCCCAAAATATCTAGCTATTCCTTTAGTACTGCCTACTCCTTCATATCCAGATGGTTAACAATCATGTATGTGGATATGGATGTACTGCATGTTCATATCATTTGATTGTTGTTGTAGATTATTATGCGATATCTGAACTTTATCATAATGTCATTTTTTTTGCAGGGTCCTAACTCGATCCTTGTTGCTATGGTAATGCTGCTGAATATTGGCCTTGCAATTATATTTGTCCATTTTCTGACATGATGATGCTGTTTCTCAGGTGAGTTCATCTTTCTAGACACTTTTATTGTAAAAAATGAATATGGAGCGGATGAATAAATGTATCTCTAAAGAGCAATCTGCCGCCTCCACTCCATGTCTTGTGTGTCCAGTGTGCCACAATGTGTGTCTGAAATGTGACAAGCAGCCAAATAAAGCCAAAGAAAACTGTTTTATGTTGCAGTGAAACCATGGCAACCGGTTACAGTTGCATCGCCAGGCCTTGAAAAACGAAAATGGCGCCAGTGAGACACGGGGGTGGCCGTAGGTGTTTAGGAATCAGCGTGACACCGACGAGAATCAGGAGGAAGGCATCGCTACCACCAAACCTGTCATTGGGCCTTCTTTAAGGGCCAGCTCTGTGAATTAGCACTCCTTTGGCTTCTCTGAAAGCTGAGGTGAAATGTTGTGTCTAGTGAGATTTTAAAAAAGATTTTAAAAAAGTTTAAAAATGCAACCAAACATACACAGTCTGAAAAAAAAGAAGTAATTGAAACCCACGCGCGTGCTGATCCAAGCACTGGTCGCTCTAGGCCACTGCCTTGGCAGAGATAGCGGTGGGCTGATGGACTTTGCTGGAAGAGTGTGGAGATGCACTTTTAGATGAAGGGAGCAAACAGCTGCCTTTCTATTTTGCCATCTGACGTTTTGATGGGGAGATGTGAGCCCGGCGGCCGGGGGTAGGGGGGCGGGGGGCGGGGGAGAACGGTCGCAGCGGGAGCGTGCTCGGGTGTTCGGAGCGTTTTTTTGGGGGTTCACGCCACTCTTGCAACAGGAAACTGGGCACGGCCGTTGCCAGCAGTCAGTGCTAGCACGGTCACTAGCCAGTCTTACTCTGTTCGCCCAATCATCACCCCATTTCTCTCGAGTAACCCACGATACACTGCTTTGAAACACTCCCCGTGCATGGTACAGTTTTAACGTTTAGTTTTTTTTGTTTGTTTTCTGTTTTTTTTTTTTGTTCAATGTTGTTCTCTGAATGTCGGTTACCTGCAGTCTTGTAGTTGAAAAGGAAATTTCTTCTCCTCTCAAAATGAGTGAATACATTTATTTTCCCTTTTTATTTTGACATTTTACTCATTTCTAATAATTGAGTTGTAATTTGACATTACACATTCATGTTACTGAAAGTGCAATATGTTTTGGGGTTTTTTTCAAAGAAAAGCTTATAGTATATTTTGCCAAAAAGGGGGGCGGGGGGGGGTGTACCATTACAGAAATCCTATGTTCCATTTATTTTTGACAGACTCTCAAAATTATAATAGACTGGTTTTGAGGGAGGGTGTTGCTTATCAGCCAGCATTGTATTTATGAAGGAGATTCACACTTTAAAAGCTACCTAGCTCCGCGAGAGTGAAGTAACAAATGTCTTATGTTATTTATTAAATCAGAAGGAAAACGGTTCCGTTGCACATGTCAATGAACCCGCTTGAATTCCTTCATTCTATTCTTTGCTTTCAATGTTTCAGCATACCACTCAAATGCAAAGAGGCGGTTCACGCAGCTGCTTCTGTAGGCCCAGCAGTGCGTGCGTGCTCGTAAGACTGGATCAAGACAGTCTTGTGGATAGTGGAAGTTGAATTCATTCAGGTTGAGGCCATGGTAAATGTGGCACCAGGGAGACTGAGAGATGCCTTTATAAGTCTTTAACAGTACTACTGTTTACCTCAGAAAAAGATGAGGAGTGGGAGGGGGGTGGGGGGGTTGGGAGATGCCATCCTTGTCTTAACTTTGTCTTGTAGGGGGGATACTTTGACTGTTGTCATTACCTGAATCAAGCTTTTGACTTGCCTCATCGTAGCTGTTCGTAGTCTTGGTTGCAGGTATGGCATGAGTTTCTTTTGATTTTAAAAGTGGTTATTTATATGGTTGACATGTACTGTCATCACTACCAAGGTTAATTATTTATTCAAAGTGTTTGTGAGCATTGGTCATCATAAAAAGGGCTTTACTATGTCTCGGTTTTCTTTGCGGCAATTCAGTTTGGAAGTTTAACTTGACTGTCTGTTGTACAATGAGCAGCACATTGCATTTTGAGAATGCTTCAGTCTGTTAGATGTTTGCAAACTGTCCACATAACTAACTATCAGAATATATTCAAATTGTGGCATAGACAATGAAAGCAGATCAAGACACTATATTATTAAAAAAGAAAAAACATTGTTATATTACAAATGTGATGTATTAAATAATGATTTTTCACCCTGTCTTTGCTACACCCTCTTTTCTTGTTTTAACTGTCTTCACACGAGCACGGTGAAGACTGGAGTTCTCCGAGGGTTTAACAGAACAGCCTGTTTATGGGATAGTTTTTGAAATGCAACATTGCATGTTGGAGTCATTTATATATAGATTATTATATACTATTTGTAAGGATTTTTACAGAGCACAATCCAGAATCTGGTATGAGTTGGTATTTTTCTAACAATTTGCACACCTGTATTTTGACAATGAATATAACTTGTTTGTAATTGGTAATGTAATGCACATGATAATGTTTGACAGTGGAAAAAAAACAACAACTGTATTTCTAATTGGTTGTACTGTATGTACCATTTGGGGATGTAAAAGGCAGATGTACTTGTTTGAGTATTTTAGGATATGACGAGGAACTGCTCGAGACTTTTGATATCTCAAGGTTCATGTTACCCCACTGATTTGTGCAAAGTCTTTGGAGATGAAGTTATGTGTATAACAATAAAGATGTTATGCCTTGTCAAACTACATGTTGCGTATTTCTCATATTTTTGATTACTGAATGAAATACAAACTCTCCAGCACCCCATATATTCTACAACAAACATCAATGGAACGTAATGTATTACACTGACTTTAATTAACAGATGGATTGGAATTGATGGACGCAAGGATTTCCACTTGTTCACTTCTATGTATCGCCGAAGTTCATCGTCTCATCTGTGCTTAGCCTCCCAGCAATGATGGCCTCATGATGACCTTCTCGTAATGAGATCCGGGGGGGGGGGAAGGAGTAGGCGCAAAATCAAAGCCTTCGTCAGGGTCTCGCATTAGCGGTGCAGGCGCAGGCAGGTGCCCCAGTTTGTCTCGGGTGAGATTGTACTGTTTCCACTGCTGATCGGCCTTAGATTAGTGTATTCTTACACCAGCCATGGCACCTGCCTGGAATCAGCAACGCCATGTCTTGCACTTGCTGTGCCCTCTGCCCTGACGCCAGGCAGACAGTGCAAAACCTGCAGCGCTCTGTCGTCTCAAACTGTTACATAGTGTAAATGTTAGAGATGATTGGGTTACATTTCAGATCCTAACTCACTCATATTGTTATTTGTTTACATTGTCCCACAGATTACAATATCAGGTGTCATTGCAACAGACATTTATAGTATCATAGACATTTTGCCTTAAGGAATACTCAGAAGAGTGTGTAATCCTGGTACTTACAACCTCCATGTGAAGCCTAACTTGTCAGTAATAGTATACAATATCTCTGTTACTATTCTGATATGGCACAGCATGCTGGACAAGATTTTGGAAGCATAAGCAGTCCTGGACGAATATAAACCAAAACCATATAAGCATATCCTACCTTTATAGAAGCCTTATAACTAATTCCAGTGACAGCTACGATCCGAACCAGGGTGGAAAATCTACAATTATCTTTATATTCAGCAATGAACTTCTGGTCCTCCACATTACGTTACCAGTTTGGACGCAGTAATAACCTGATTTTGAAACCGCTGAATTTGTTACCAATGATTTTTAGATATTGATGATGAAACATTCAAGAGATGACAATCTCTTAAAAAGTAACAATCTAGAGCCAGAAATATTCAAATGTTTTTCAGCCAAATCGATACTCTTTTTGGCATTTTAAAGCAAGATTAACAATAAAGAAAGGTGTTCGTAACACATAAAAATGTAGTTATAAGTAGATGAATGGCAATTTATAATCTTTATTATTTGTCAACAACTATAAGTTATTCTTAACTCCTCCATAACTGGTATATAAACAGTAAATAATTAGTACATGTGAATAAACAGTTACCAAATGCTCTTCAACGCACTGTAACATTTGTTATGAGTGTAATCTTTCATTATTAATAATTGTAATAACATGATATAAAGGTGTAGATATATCTGTGTCTGTAAGGATTGGCTTGGACAGACAAGTCTGGAATATACCCACTAAGATGAAAGCAAGATTTTTTCATGTGTATATTTAACTCCCCCCTCTGAGACCGAGCCTTCATCTTCTGATGAACAACGCAACTTGCTTGTGCTTCTAAAATTGGATTAAGACTTGTAAGCAGTGAGGGGATATCGGTGCCCGGTGTGTTTTTAAAAACTGTTGGTCAGACATAAGTATTATGCAGATCCCCTTTCCATGCCTTGCATAGCTAGCTTAGCTTAGCATCACTTCATCTGTCATAAAACAATAAAGCTATCACTCTGTCATCTAAAGTAAACGATTATAACGTAGACTTGCAGTACTTTCTTTTTTTGTCATATGCTAATGATCCCACATGCCATTTTTGATACAGTATAAGACTTGTCATGTCGTGTTTATCTAACGACATGTGAGCTATGGTGAGGGTTTTATCATAGAGGTCCGTAGGGTGAGTCATCATAGTTCAAACAAACAACACGGTGCATTAGCCTCAAGCTATTGAGAGGAAATGCTTGTCAGGTCCATTTATCTCTCTGGTATGCCATTTGAGGCGTTCATTCTGTATGAACAATAAACTAACACTGTTTTGCAGAAAACAAACATGTAGGGTCATTTTTTTCTTATGCAGCATTCTCTGCTTGTGACTCAGTATTATGTGCAAACCCCTTTGTCTTAATGGTTGCACAAGTTGGCGGCTTTGAATATTCATTGTACTGCAGGGTGCGCTGTTAATGACGATCATAATAGCGTTGCTTTGGTAAGAATGCATTGTGTTAGTATTCCCGCTGCTGAACCTGTTCAGAAAGGTTTTTTCAAACTCTATGTCTGTTAACAGCTCTGCTGCCTGTGCATCTATTTATCCAAGAAACCATTGATAGAGACACTCAACCACTGTGTTTGGGTACATAAGGGTATCACTTTTTTGTTGAGCTGTCTTTGTGTGAGCCCTTTTGTAACAGTCAGTTTGTAATAACATTCTTCACGCTAACCCTGCATTATTGAATGATTTAATAATTTCCCAGATGTTATGTCCATCCAGCAATTCCACAGGATTCCTGGATGGACATAACATCTGGGAAATGACGTGTGTCATGATATTACTGTATACGTGGTGTTGTAATAGCAACAGGAGCTGATGCGCCTTCAGTATGTCTGAACCTGAAATCACGCAATAAAGCCAAAGTCTAATGTGTTGTTTTTTTCACATTATGACACAATATAACTACAGCTGATTTTCTTTGTGAAGAATGAACCAAATTCCATTATGCAAAAATAGGAACAGAGCTCTTTTAAATGAATCCATATTCTTAATTACATTACACATGTAGTCATTTTACCTTTCATCCAGTGAGATATAATTGTTTCTGATGTGATAATTGTTCTTGAGATTCGGAGCAACACAAGGATTGCCAGGGCACTGTGACTCGCTGCAGGCCAAAGGGACTGTACCCTCCAATTCATTGTGACAGGCCTTTCCCTCTTTTCAGAAAAGATATGCCCAAAGACATTCCTCCCCCTATCTTTCCCCGACAATGACTAAAATTCTGACCTGGTTTCATTCAGGGCCTCTTCAACTAAGCTATTGTTCTGTTCATAAATGATCCTGTGCATTGACATTTGACCAACTCATATTGAAACTGGTGCTAAAAAGAAGTGGAAAATGAGGAAGTCAAAATAAGGCCTAGTCTACTTATCTACCGTACCATACCTACCTTTACATAACGTTCTATCTTTGATGATGAGAGAAATGTTTAAAACACATATAAACCAAGTGAACAGCAATGTATCTGCACATTCCCAAGCCAATAAGAATGAAAGCCATGCTGAATGTGACCCATTTGACTGTCTAAGATGTCCAACAAACATCGACAGGTAATTACACTAACAAGCATAAAGATGGACAAGTGCCTTTTCTAGCAAGTTAACTGCATCCCACCATTTCAGAATTGCCTGGGTGTGTGCAAGAAAGCGTGATCTGAGAGAGTATACGGTTGATGTGTTAAAGGGATGGATGATATCCCTTCGTGTGACAAGATCGTTTGAATGTATTGTGTGTGTATGGGTGTGTGTAAGGAAGCCCTGTTCTAAGGGCCCACAGCAGCCTCCCCGAAATAGAGCTGAGAGCAGCTGCAGCGGGGTGAGTCGTATCAGAGACACATCAAAGCGCCTGCCGCCACCCGCATGCTCTGATCATAAGCACTAATGGTGTAATGGGGGACTGGAAGGTCAGTGATTGTTTTTGGTTGTGTGAGTGTGTGTGTGTGTGTGTGTGTGTGTGTGTGTGTGTGTGTGTGTGTGTTAGAGAGTCAACAGGCAACACTGGCAGTCAACAGGCGGGAGGCTACTGGAACTTTCTGGAACACAAACTGACAGCATAGCTAAGCGTGGTATTACTGTAAGACAAATATCAGGTCAGGTGTCACCTCTGCAGAAGTCACCATTGACATCGTTATAGCAATGAGCACAGTCAATTAAACAAGTCTGGGAATAAAATGTCTCCATTATCCCACCAGTTGAAGAAGAACCTTAACATCTGTGTGTAAATGAGCAGCAGTATAAGGAATTCCTTACCGTCTTCCATGAGGAGTGTTAATATTAACTGTGCTGGTCTGCTCTTCGTGTCACAGCTCAGATAACTCTCCGTCCATATGGAAGTGTCAGATTTCAACAGTCATCACTTTTCCCCCATGAGCAGAACTCCAGGCAGGATCAGGTCAAAGTCACATTCTGAATCTGACCGTGACTACAATACGTGCCCAACTGTCTCTAATCTATTGCAGACACAATGTACAGACTTTATGAACTGTAATGGTTGTCTGTTGATACAAACAACAAACTTTATAATCTAGTTTTGAAAATGTGTGCCTTTTGGGCGGCCCTGTAAGTGTATAATACTATTCAAAGAGTTGAATACTTTTACTTTTGTAATCAAAATAATGCACAATATGGTGAATTGATTCATTTCTACTAACTGGACTTTAGAAAGTATGTAGTGCAGAGTGCATGCCGTCTCTATCTCTTTCTCTCCCTCTCTCATTCTTTCTTAAATCCAGATTTATGGGCCTGTAAAATATCTCTGTCATGTCCAATCAGCACCTGCTCTCCCCTATCATAGCTAATGGAGACAGTCAGGGCGGGTAACCTGACACACAGGCGCCCCCCTTAGGCTTCACAGGACAATCTCAACTCTTCATGGATGACAAGTCATTTCAGCTCTTCATTAAAATTAAAAATGTATAATCTTATTTCCCCTCTCTTATCTAAATGTATTATCTAGTGACAGTGACTTATATTGGGCGGTGGACGTGTAAATAATCATTATCCAGAAATAGCCTCTGCTTTGCACATTATTCTATCATTTGCGCTTTTTGCGATTATCGTTACAACAGTTATAATTTTATCAAAACGTTTTTCTCTTCGGAAAATGTAAGAAGGGTCTCAGCTAAAAAATGTAACTACATTTTAATTTTGAAATAGACATTTTTGCGTTGGGCAGGATTTAGACGGCAGGGGTCCGCTTCTCCGGAAAATCCGTTCTACGGAAGACATTTATCGCGGACGAGTGTTCACACAAACTAGTTCCGGGTAACAGCCTGGTGGCTAACATTAGCTGAAACTGAAACGCAGTCCGTCACTCCACATTCTACAACAAAGTGGTAAGAAACAGTGTTTTGTCTGTCATTGCATGCTCTTTTTGTGTTGCCGTGTTTCGGACTGTTTTCCGATATTCATTTTAAACTAAATAGTCGATGAAATAAATTATAACGTTGTACTTCGTTTGGCAAGGCGTTATATTGCTGGCTAACACTATCGGCTGCGGTGTCACCTAAAGAAGAGAAAGAAATGACCACTAATCTAATTTTAGATGAGGTATTTTACAACTGTACGTTACTTATTGCGATTTATTTAAACGATCTCTACGTTAGATTGTGGTACATTACTTATAACGTTAGCTTCAACTATTTGTTTGATCCGTCTCAACGTTACGTTGTGATTGTCAGAAATTCACAAAAAAAACCAAGGCCTAACGTTAGCAAGCGAAAACAGTAATTTAGGAGTGATTATTCTACATAACGGCATTACAGCCAGTGTCCAGCGTAAGTTGACTTTATATTGTGTATGTGGTCTTGGTGTCCTAATTAAGAGTCGTTCATACGAGTGATGTTTCGTATCTTATTTGTCCATGTTTCCTTTCAGGGTTAACAGAACTTACCAAACAGAATGGGTAAGTAATGAACTGACCTAGGCTGTATATTATCCTGTACCTTCCCAGAAATGTATAATGTTTTCCAATTCATTACATGTTGGTTCTCATGAGAGTATCTACTGTTCTTACAGTTGGTAAAATGTGTGTGTGTGGTACTGCAGCACTTGGCTTCCACCTGTTTGAGATTATCAGTGTGTGTTGCTTCATAGACGGTGAAGAGAGAACCTACGGTGGCTGTGAAGGGCCAGATGCCATGTATGTGAAGCTGATCTCTTCAGATGGCCATGAATTTATTGTGAAAAGAGAACATGCTTTGACATCTGGGACTATCAAAGCCATGTTAAGCGGACCAGGTGAGGATTTGTGCAAATTGGTGAAAGTATAGCTGTATTTTCTTCTGTTATAATTAGCATACAGACTTTACTTAAACTAAAAGATATTGTAGACTAATAATTCATAACAGAATCATCAGCACATTCAGTGGTACTCTAAGAAGTCCAGTTGGAATTTAATTTTTTTTTATGATCAAGCAATGTGACACATTTTTGGGAGCTATCAGAAATAAGTAGGGGATAAGCTCAGTGTTTTCTATCCAGACTGCTGGATTCCTGTCATTCTCTTTAACCTGTTGAAATGGAGATTAGATTTAAATAATACATTTTGCCCAGGTAGAATTTGCCTGAAATGGAAGATATTTTATGCAATTGCTTACTCCACATGACAGTCTATGCTTTACCACCACGATGTATATTGTGAGCGATATTTCTGGGAAGAAGTAGCTTGCATCTAAGATTTACTAAATGTTGGCAGTCAGACATGGTTTGCTCTTCCAAGAGCCTAATGAGAGACTGCAATAAAGTAGGAAAGGAGTGTTGGAGCATTAGGCTTTTTGGTAGTTAGTGCTGCTTTACAGCTGTGAGGGTACGGTTGAACAAAAAACAGTTGCTTGGATATTTTGAGGCAGTACTGTTTTAAGAAACTGTCCTGTAGAGTTGGGTAACCTGGGATTATTTTTACTTGGCATTTAGTAGCTAAAAGATACTGGAATCTTTACTGATTCAGGCGTGCGCAGTCTGAAAAAAAAAAAAAAATACTCACGTTTCCACTTTGGACCAAATATAAATCAGAGTTGATCCTCTTTGAATACTTGGATAACCTCATCTCCCCTTGTTAAACTTGTTATGAACAGGGTTTTACTTTGATAAAAAACATTGTTACTCATTTGTCAGCCTAGTTTCCATTAACAATATACTCTTATCACATGCTGGGATCAAAGTGTAGAGTAGTGTCCAGTTGGTGGCACTATGCTCCCTCCATACAGGGGTTTTGATACCTCCTAGTAAATGTTTAGTGCCTTTCTTTTATGCTCGTGGGTAGCATTTTGCATATTTACAGTTTGATAGCTTTATCCAGGATAGGATACTCGTAGTTGTATTTCTGACATTGCATAAATTCAGAGTTGTGTGTCTTAAGTTAATTGTTTCTGGCTCATGACACCTACTGTCACCCTCCATCTACAGGACAGTTTGCTGAAAATGAAACCAACGAAGTGAACTTCAGGGAGATTCCCTCTCACGTCCTGTCCAAGGTCTGCATGTACTTCACCTACAAGGTCCGTTACACCAACAGCTCCACAGAAATACCTGAATTCCCCATCGCTCCGGAGATCGCACTGGAACTGCTCATGGCTGCAAACTTTTTGGATTGTTAAAGTTACAGAAACAACTTTGAAGCTTAAAACATTTTTAGAATTTTTTTTTTTGAATATTTAAATTGTTTTGCCATTTACTTATATGAAACCTGAATATAAGTATGTATGTCACCATGTTATACTTCTTTTTGCACCTGGCATTCTGTCATAATTGTATTAGTATTAAAAGATTAATTTTAATGTAATACATGGATATGGCAGGCTGTATTACTTGCCACAGAATGTGATAAATATGCCCCCACCCCATAAATGTTCCCTCACCTCTCCAGATTAATAAAGACCAGTTTGGTGAGCACAGTTTATTTGTAAATTGCTACCTCAAAATGCATGTTCCGTATGACGTACCGCTGACTTTAAATACTCTTTTATCAAAAAACGGCATCATACTTTAATTGTGTATTTTGGTCTAGCTCAAGTAAAACAATACAGAATGTTTGAAAGACCACAAAGGACAGCAGGCATATTTTTAATACTGAAATACATAATTCTGTGTTGCAGACTAGGGGTTAGACATAACAGAGGAAATGTTCTGTATGCTCACCAGCTTGAGATGGATACCGAGTAGAATGTGTCAAATTCTCTGTTAGGACAATAATATAATAACAGCAGGTGAAAACATGTTTTGTTTTTTTATATATTACTTTATATTAACTTAATGTGTTTCATTGTACACTGTATCCTTTTTAAAAGGATGTTCCGCCTCAAATATGATGGCTTATACTTGTAAGTAATTAGGACATGTTCTTCCAAACAGAATTCCAAATGTTGGATGGAAATAGATTTTGGGAAACAGTCGATAATCTCAGAAACATGTCATTTTAAGTTCACACAGGGACTTGACACTTGATTTGAAAAAATGATTTGCAAACATCTCTGGGTTTGGGAAGATAGATGGATGTGTAAAGTAGATTATGAACTCAATTGGAGACCGAGTGTAATCCAATACGGTTGTACACTTGCGGTTACTGAGAAACGGGTTATGATTATTATTGCATGCCTAATAAGGCAGGACAGCTAGCGTTGTTTAAAGTGATCATATACCAAACAATGATCAGTCAATGCTGATACTGTATGCTAATAAGGAGTGATGCTACAGTACATGCTTAGATTTCTCTGATTGGCTGGTTAGGGGGTAAATGGGACATGTTACAGAAAGCTATGGACACATATTTCAGGTGTGCGCTTTTCTGATTTACACTAGAGAAAGTGAAAAAAATTGCGATATGATCAATCAAATAAGATACATTTTTACACATGCAAGTTGATGGAGATGATCCTGTAATTCAGACTAGATATTGCTGCAAACATACACATATGTCCTTAAGCAAACATCAGCAAATTTTCAATGTGGTTACGTGTTACTGCATGATATATCGTAATGTTATTGCTGATAATGAGTGTCTTTTACCCTGGTATCTGGCTTATTTACTCGCTCCTAGGGAAAACCATATCCGGTGGGAGCTCATAGCACATCTCAGTCGACATTGGCTACTGAGTTTTTTTTTTTTTTTTGCAGAAACCTTAGGAGGTTTACTCAAATTACAGTTCAGTTGAATAAATTGCTATGCATTATGCTGACACAGACACATTGATGTACTCCTTTATTGCCTAAAGGGGAAAATAAGATATTCATTAATCTCAAAATGTAAAAGGAGATGCTATGATAAAAGGCATAATCCATCTGTAGAGTGATTTAAGATGGGTATTCAACTGCATGATAACATGACAAATCGGAATGTGTATTTTTAATATCTTACTTTAATATATCATTTTCATGGTTGTGATAACTAAAAGACAAACATGAGAACGATATTTGGTATCAGGGATGTCAGGCAGGTCATCCCACGTTGAGCAGAGGTTATTGACTCACGTGACCTACGTGAATTTTAACACCACACTTATTTATCAATGGTATGAAATTCTTCTTCAAAAGCCCCGTGTATTAGTCGGTGAACGACAGAATGAGTCAGAGGTGACCAGACGGTGCACATCGGTGGGTTGTGTTTGCCTCTGTCAAAACAACTTATGTCACGTGACAGCCTGACGTACAGTCCTTCTGCGCTGGAGCAGGGGTGTGGGGGGGTTTCCATCATGGCGTCGATGCAGGTAGGAATACATTGGCAGCGATCGCATATTTATATTTTACCTGACCTTCAGTCCGGTATTTCCTTGTAGTTTGTTAACCATTTAACTCACGCACGTGTATGTGTTCGAAGTAGTGATGATGTTAAAGTAAAAAGCGATGAGATTTACACTAAACTGTTCCGGTTTAGCGCTTAGTGTTTGCTAGCAATACAACTAGGCTAGCTAGTTAGCATCATCATCACCAGCACCGAGTCAAGGCTAGAAACCAGCTTCCTGACAATACATCGATGACTGGCGACGCGTTTGTATCGCAGCAACACATAGAAGATGATCCAAGGAATGTGATGTTATGAGTTTAAACTGCTTCTGATATTTTTAACCGACTGCTAGTTGCTATTTGGCTGACGTTGACGTTAGCTAGCTAACGAGACAGTACGCAGCAGATTGACCAGTTCTAGTTTCCTCTCGATCTGAATAGGAGCATCCCTATCTGGAGATAGATGTGGTGACATTTGCCTTATCTTTAAAAAAAAAAAAAAACATCAATCAAATTTTGTAAATCAATCTACTGATGACCCGGGTTTGTTGCTGTTGTGTAACGTTTCTTCTTTAACACATAGCTTGGCTTATGTACACGGTAAACGAGTCATATCTGTCGGGGTGGAGTTTTATTTTCGTGTTGACGTTTACTTACATTTACACTTAAACTATAATCGAGAGTTAATCACCCAAATATATTCCACGTTGTCTTGGTTATTAATCTCTTCGTAAAATAAAGGAAAATATATTTTCTCTACGATTTTTTTCCTCTTTTCTTTGCCATTTTTATATTATTATTATGTTTTGTTTATTGTTGTGATGCCGTGTTTCAACATTGAAGTACAATGTTGTGGTACAAAACCCAAACTCATTGTCTCCCAACAGAAAAGGCTGCAAAAGGAATTATTAGCCATGCAAAATGATCCACCCCCTGGAATGAAGCTCAATGAAAAAAGTGTACAGAACACCATTACGCAGTAAGTATTTATTTTTATTTATTTCATTTCGCGCGATTAGTTAGTTTCTATGTGGCAGTGTTTTTTGGGGGCCATTGAATACGTTTTCCATCTATAAATGAACACCAATCCAACGTGGCTTTGTAGAATGTCACGTTTGATCACCATGATGTTCCGGTGTCAGCCACACGTGCAACAAAGGTAACTTTTGCAAAAAAAACAGTGGCAGGAGGTATTAAGAGGCAAAGCTGTGACCGGTGGTGAGGAAGAATCGGGGTCAGTCCGGTGACTGGCAGCTCTGCCCCTCGGTAGAGTGTTTCTAATGCACAGTGTCACTTATTATTCATCCTTATAAAATATGTAACGGTTGGGCTAGGGTAGCAAGAAACAGAGGCTGCTTAGCTGACCTTCCTGTCTGGGTGTCTAGGTGTTCCCTTAAAAGCCCACGATTATGTTATTATAAATGACACTGTGTCTTAGAAGCAGTACGGAATGATGAACTGAGTTGTAGTCCTGTAAATGTATTTAAGACAAATTTCTAGCCATACATACAATACATGCTACAGTGCTTGTGGTTAGTTATGTAACAATGAAAGCTCCATTACAATGGCATCTACCTCATTCGATAGCAATCGCTAACTATGAACGTGTTTTGATTTGTATGACTGACAAGTCTACGAACCAGTTCCACTAGCTTCCCTTGTTCATTGCGTCCCAGGTTTGAGATTATATGTATGGGTGTGCCCTTTTGTCTTCAGCTATGTTAAAGGTTTGTTTGGCCTGGCTTTGTATTTGTCATAGCGACTGACTGACAGTAGTATGGATTTACATGTTTTTATCCAGCCTGTCCTAGAGGAGTAAGATACAAATAGTCTGTTCCTGCTTGACATTCAAGTGAACCGTATCCTTTTTTGAAACAGACATGGGGGAAAAAAACCCACTAGTGACAATGCTGTGTGTGTGTGTGTGTGTGTGACAGTGATAAGGTGACCATGTGTTTTTAGTTTTATAGCTTTTGTTTATAGTACAATTTGTCTCTCCGTGCTGCTCATTAGATTACAATGTCTTTCAGTTTGACTGTGTGATAGTGCAGTTGCAGAAATTAGTCAGCGGCCATTGCAAACAAGCGAACTACTGCTACTAAATGGCTCAGTGTCGTTTTTGTTGACTGGATTGGCTGATCACTAGGAAATGGGCAGCATAATGTCTTTGGAGTCACTGCCTGTGATCAGTGTGGGTTGCATCAGGTGTGACTCTGCATCATGTACAATGATGCTGCCTCCCTCTTTACTTCCTGAGGAAAAATGGAGCCTATTTTCAGACGCTCAGACGCGTGAATGATTATGTGCTCGAGGCTAGATCTGAAAGAGACGAGGCTATAAACCCGAACAACAACCACAAGTCTCTTCGTTGACCTATCTGGAAAGAAATTAGGCCAGAGATTGTGATGCTGCCGTCAAGTGTTCCATTTCCTTCTCTTATGCTCAGGCGATCCCAATTACTGATCTGGACTGGACTTAAATGTTTGCCGTTTTGCCAGCGAAGTGTCTGTATTATAGCCATAGAGGTATATTAAGCAGGTAGACTGCCCTTCATCCCAAAGACTCAGGATCAAGCCCCTGTGTTTGCGATCGTCTTCCATTCCGAGCAAGTCATTGAATCCCTCCCAGCTCAGTCAGCACAGTCCTGTAGCCAGGCCACATAGGCGAAAATGGATTGTGTCCACTAGATCAATAGAGTATCACGTTATTACTAAACCGCTGTCGTAACCCAGCTGAAGATTGAATGTCACTTGAATGAGGCAGACTAAAAGCTTTTGATTACACACGTACTGCAGCAGTGGCTGCTCACATTTTGTATGATCCTTTTCTATAGATAATGAGATGTGATCCATGCGAGTCATCCTGTAGTTTCCAACTGATCTACTCCAGAGTTATGAGACATAACATACAGCATGTTATTAATCATTAATAAAGAACATGCCAGTCTGTGAGGCCTTCGCCATACTCGCCATCTTAAAGAAGTATACTAACATTTGCTAATTAGCAGGACTGTCAACAATATTCTAAATTTGAATATATTGGTGGGTGTTAAAAGAAAACAGATACTCAAATATGAAAATTAATATTCGATTGTGGGGGGGGAAAAGCAGCAGCTGTCTGCCTTGCGCACACTGAATGCACTGCATGACCGCAGTAACACAATGTCACCTT